CACTCTAAGAAGGGAGGAGTGAGAGCAGGGCAGAGGAAGAGCCCTGCAGAGCGTGGGGCAGGGCAGAAGGAGGGGCAGGAGGGGCTCCAGGCACCGGGGCTGAGCTTCCCCTGCAGAGCCCCGAGCCCCCTCCTGTGCCAGGTGTTCCCAGTCCAGCAGTGCCAGCTCCCTGTCGCTGTCGTCTTCCCATCGGGACACCCTGGAGGGGCTGGAGTCTCCCCAGTCGGAAAACTCTTGGACAAAGGAGTCTTGGTCTGGGGACAACTCTTGGGCAATGGAGTCTTCCCAGTCAGACAAGAGTTCTTGGTAGGCACTGAATTTCCTTTGGAACTGCCCTTCCATGCTGGATTCTTCCCAGCTGGGCAGTTTCTGGGAGCTGCTGCCTTTTCCTTGGGGCTGCTCTTCCTCCCTGTGTTCTTCCCAGTTGGAAAACTCTTGCCCAGAGGAGCCCCCAGTGCTCACCGGGTACAAGGGTTTGTCCCAGATGCTGGAACCAACATCATCTCCCCGCTGGGACAGCTTTTCCTCATTCCCAGTGCAGTGGCAACTCATTTAGTCTTTCACTGGAAGCAAAAATGCGGAGGGTAAAATGTAAATAAAATATAAACATGTAAATAACATGCAAATCAAATGTAAATAAATGTGACGTGCAGATCAAATGTAAATAAATGGGATGTGCAGATAAAATGTAAATAATTGTAAATAAAATGCAAATAAAATGTAAATAAAGTGTAAATAAAACAAACACATCTGGTACCTTCTTATGATTTTTTGGGTAGGTTTGGATTCTACTGATTAAAAAAAAAAAAAAAGGCCCAAATCCCAGGGTTGGCTCATCAGAGGTGACGAACCCCGCTGTCACAGGGCTCAGAGCACCTCACAGATCCCAGATGGCAGAGGATTTGGCACTCCAGAAGTCTGGATGTGCGAGAGTGGAAGACAAGCAGTGAGCGCTCCCATTCTGCACGTTGCTGAAGGAGGAGGAATTGGCTGCCCCGGGAGTCAGAGCCCTCCCATCTGCCCGCCAGGGCTCCTGATGCCCTGCTGGGATTCCAGCCCTAACCCCATCCTGCAGACAGCCCAGCCTGTTCGTTGATTCACAGTCAACTTCCAACATTTTCCAAGCTTCCAGGTCTCTGCTCTGAGCTATTTCCCATCTGGATGTGTTTGTGGCTCCTGACAGTTTTGATCAAGGCTTGTTGAGATTTATTCCCCGTAAGGATTTTTGGGTTTGCCTGCTTGCCTGATTGATTGGTGCGTTTGCAGGCCTGGAAAGGTCAGAATTCTCTGGGAGTGGGCCCAAGCCCAGACACACAACACCTTCCTGCAAGGTGAGGGCTCAGTTAATTGGAAAAGCCTCTTACAGGAAAAACAAAGGCAGGAATATTTTCTTCCTTCAGGTTTAGAGATCTGCCACTGCCAGAAGCTTTAAAACAATCCCCCTCCTCTCAGCTCTGTGCCTGAGCCTTTCCTGCCTTGGATTTCACTGCCCCTACTCTGTGCTGGGCTAGTGGGAGGTGTGTGTGTCCAGGGCAGGGCAAGTTTGGATTAAATGATCTTTAAAGTCCCTCCAAGCCCTTTGTAACCTTTGGTGATTCTTATAATTACGTGTATTTAACACCGGTTTCTTATAGCTCTGATGGGCCGTGAGGCTGCCTGGGGGGTGATACCCCTTTGAAAGGGCAGCCTGATAATGAATCCCAAACCTCGACCCCTGGTGCCTTCCAGCCCCAATGACCACCCAGAATGTACAGAGAGAGCGAGCAGTGTCAGGGAGGGGAGCGGCTGCCAGGTCTGGGGGAAATCCCACCATCTGGGGGGGTTTATCTGGAGCAGAGGAGGCTCAGGGGGGACCTCATTGCTCTCTGCAACTCCCTGACAGGAGAGGGCAGGGAGGGGGGGTCGGGCTCTGCTGCCACATCCCAAGGGAAAGGAGGAGAGGAAATGGCCTCAAAGTGCCCCATCCGAGGTTCGGATTGGAGACGAGAACAGTTCTTCCCTGCAAGAGTGGTCAGACAGTGGGGTTAAGTGTCGCCGGTCGGTGGTGGAACATCGAGGGCGGTCTGAGGCAGCATCGCCGGGAGCCGAGCTCCATCTGCCGGGGAATCCGGCGAGTCAGGAGCCGCCGTGCCCCGGGGAGCCCTTCCCGGCTGTCCTGCTGCTGCTGCTGCTGCTGCGAGCGCTGCTGTCACCGCGCTCGATGTCCCCCCGCGGCGGAGAGGGGATGAGCTCCCCCCTCGGCATGAGGGGATGCTCCCCCTGCCTGCCCCGCGGGAATGGAGAGGTAATTCCTGGGCCAGGACCTGGAAATCACGCTGAGTCACTCTTTGCAGATGTGGGATTAAATCATAGAATCAGAGAATACCCCGAGTTGGAAGGGACCCCCAAGGATCATCCAGTGCCACCCCTGGCCCTGCCCAGGACACACCAACACTCCCCCCTGTCCCTCAGAGAGTTGCCCAAAGGCTCCTGGAGCTCTGGCAGCCTTGGGACCGTGCCCACTGCCCTGGGGAGCCTGGGCAGTGCCAACCACCCTCTGGGGGAAGAACCTTGTGCTGAGCTCCAACCTGAGCCTGCCCTGGCACAGCTCCAGCCCTTCCCTGGCTGCTGTCCCTGTCCCAGCCAGCAGAGGTGGGAGCTGCCCCTCGGGAGGAGCTGCAGCCCGTGATGAATCTCCCCTCAGTCCCCTCCGGGCTGGACAAGCTAACTGCCCTCAGCCACTCCTCATATGGCCCCTCCAGGCCCTTCTCTATCTTCATGTCCCTCCTTTGGACACTCACCAACAGCTTGACATCCTTCTTGTATTGTGGTGCCCAAAACACCCCCAGGACTCGAGGTGAGGCCACCCCAGCACAGAGCAGAGCCGAGCTTTGCACCCTCTGAGCTTGTACCCCCTAGAAGGACCCACTGCCATCCTCTGCCCCCAACACTGTTAGCACAGCCCATCTGTACAGTTTGTGTTCAACATTTCAAGAGGGTGTGGTAACAGCCTTAGATTTTTATGTTCCCAGGGCCCGTGTCCATGACAGTCCCGGCCTCCACCTCTTTCCCCCATTAAGTCCCTCTGCTTTCCAACAGGGAAAAATAATTTCTTCTTCCATCCACCCCTGCTCAGCCGTTCTCCAGGAAGACCTGAGTCAGATGTTTGGTACCTAAACCAAATACCTGAGGAAGGTGGGGAAGAAGGAGACAATTGCTGGAGGGAGACACACAGTTACTAAACCAACCCTAATGTAAACAAGATCTAAAGCAAGAGTTCAAAGTTATTAAAACTAGGGGAAAACGCCAAAGAAGGAAATTCTTCTCTGTTCACTCACCCAGCTCCGGAGCCAATGGGACCTGCTTCCCCATCCCCTGAAAGCTGATTTATGGGCATGTTTTTAAAAACTGCAGACAACAATAACAACCTCCTCTCCGTGAACCTTTTCATCAGCTCGGAGCTCAAAGGGCTTCTTGAAGATCAACCCGTGAGCAGGTGGGGACACCCAGGCACAGGAAGGAGGGGGTTCTGCTGCCGGGGTGAATCCCCAGTCAGGTACATTCTGTGCTGAGATGCCTCACTCAGCAAACAAAAGCCATAGAGCTCCATCCCTCGCTGTGTATGGGCAGTGGCATGAATGAGAAAAGAGACACTTGAGGAGTTGGATTTTGAGAGATTTGAGCAGTGCGCCTTGGGAAAATGAGGTTATTCCCCTCCTGGCAGCGTTTGCCTACTTCAGCATCGCAGAGGAGAGCCCAATTTCTGGGATGCTTTACCCTCTAAAACGTTTGTTTTACCGAGGATAGAAAAAACCACAAACATTCAGGACTCTTTGTTTTGTTTTGCTTTGTTTTCCCCCGCTTATTTACAAATTCCTGTGCTGGAAGGAGAAAGCACAATTTGGGGACTACTTCCTGCACCTCTTTAACAGACGATGAAAAACCTCATTCTCTTAACAGAGCCGTTTTTTTTTCCTCTCCTAGAAGTTTTTTCTGTTTCCTAGTTGCAACAACCACGTTACTGCAGGGAAGGATGACAGATGGGAAACCTAATTTTACTTATTTAAAGCCCATCTTCTCCCCCAACTGGCTCTTCCCTGGTGGGTAGCTGTGTCACTGAAACCATGAAGCTTCTTGTGGG